TAACCTGGAGCGCCAGGATTGTGGTTATTGAATGAAGCAGTCATATGGCGTCTTGCTTAATGATCTGTTTGGTCAATCCAAATTCTGATCCCAATTGTAAGTCAAGGACTATCTTTTGTTCATTTTCTTGAGCTGAAACAGTAAAAATGGGGTTATAAAAGTTCCTTTTGGTAACTTTTTATCTGTCAGGAGCCAGTGAATCAGTGAATTACCACTTAACTGGTAAACTAATCCAAATCCAATTCTTTTTTCCCCCCTTCTCCAGTCTGATTCGCATCAGCCATCTTATTCTCCACAGCCTCAGCAATTTACCCAGAATTCCTCTCCACCAGCCTCCATTAACCAGACTCAGCCTCAATCAATATCCCAGTCTAAGCATACTCTGCCGCCCCAACAAGGGGCACAGTCACCTCACCAGGTCCAGCTGCCTTTGTTTAACTTTGCCCAATCTCCCCCAGGTCAGTATTCCACATTGCCTAATTTGGGGGTATTTCAAATGCCCCACCATCACCAAATTCCATTTCCTAACACATCCTGGCCTGTTATTCACTCTGCACCGGGTAATCCTCCTCACGCAACAAACGTTCCATTTTCGGTGAGAGCTGGCAGCAGCAACCCACCCAATAATCAGAGCACCATAAGCTTGAATGATCCTAGTATCATCTTTGCACAGCCTGCTGCCAGGCCTGTGGGAATCCCCAGCACTTCTCATGAGGGACCCTGGCACAACCCCGTGACTCTAAGCTCACTGGTGAACAATGGCACAGTGGGGAATTCAGGTAATTTTCCTCTATTGTCACTTGCTTTGTACAAATACCGATGTTTTGTTTGCTAACCATTTCTGAGCTCATTTGATTCTGCTAATCAGTTGCTTATAAGAAAACGCTTTAAGGAAGATTAATTTCCTTAATACTTAGGCCAAGACTTAACATAGCTGAAAAGTAAACAAAAAAAAAATGCTTGAACATTTGCATTGTATATATAGACATGATATTGAAAGAAAAGGCTGATCTTCTAGTGAAAAACTGCTAGCAAATGTGAACTGGATTAGAGAATCAACACATCAGATCCTGGCATAAACTGAAAGCACTTTGCCCCATTTTATTTTTCATTTGTATTTTCTCATGTTGCACTTAATGCTACTCTTAAAAATAGTATCAAAAGTAGCTTAACATGGGACAGGAATGATATATGTGATAGAAGAAGGGTGGCTTAGTATGAGCACATATTTGTGTCTAGCTCTTTGACTCTACCCAATTTATTTAAAGATCCTACAGATTGGTGTACTTAGATCGAAACTTTGATACATTAGTTTATGAACCAGCATGAATTTTATGCCTTTTTAAAGGTATAGTTTATAGTTCTGTTTTTATCTGACAATGACTGATCCATACTTCCTAGAACAAGTTTAGAAGGATTCATGGCTTACTTTAGGTTTGTTGTTCTTAGAAATAGAAGTTGTCAAACCAAACCAATAAAAAATTACAAAAAACTTCTTGATAGTTCAAAGATTCCCAAAATGATGTGTCATGCTTTCTTTACAGGTAGTCTTTGACTTAAGACTGTTTGCTTACAACCGTTCAAAATTTTGATGGATCCAGAATAGGTGCTATATGGCACATAAAGCACTTTTGGCCATTGTAAAATGTGCCAACCCCTCCACAGTCATCCTAGGCATTTGGCAGCTGGATCACCTTTATGACTGGTTGCAGCATCCTATGGTCACATGACCATGATTTTCTGTATTTTCTGCTAATCTGGTTTAAACTTAAAACAGCAGCTTTTATTTAATAACTAAAGGTTCTCTTACCACAATGATTTGCTTAGCGACCACTGCAAAAAAATTTTTATATCACGTGGGTGCCGCAATCTACAATAAATCCCTTCCTGATTGTGGTCGTAAGTGAAGGACTACCTGTCAAGTATTCTGTATTTTCAGAATGTCTTTATTTCTATTTTTGAAAAAAAAAAAACATGAGATTGCATCATATTGTTTAATAATTGCTTTTGGTTTGATTTATTTTTTTCATTTTTGAACAAAAGTGTTAGTTTGACTCCAAAAATATGCTGTTCGACATACAAAGGAATTTAAATTTGCAGGATTGCTCTGAACTTTGCCTAGGGTGTTATTGAAGAAAAGAAATATGTGAAAATCGTTATAGAACCTACCTGTTGTCTGCATATATGAAATGTATGAGATACTTGTAAATCAGAAACAATTGTTTTTTTTTTATTCAGAAATTTTGCATCAAGCCCATCATTCCTCAAAACAGATCCACAGTTAAATTTTATCTATAATTTCCTTGATGTAAAATTTCTGATTTTTAAAACAATAAAATAGTTTTTCTATGTAGACAAATAGCTATTTTCAATATTCTTTTACCATAACAATTATGCATAATTCTATATTAATCATAATCTTTAACATTTGAGAATTCCTATTCTTCTCAACAGTCTTCCTCAATTTGGGATTTTGCAAATGTCAAAATGGTGATGGGTTTTAATTTAAAACAATTATTGATAAGTACATAATATATCCAATCTTATTCATATCAATGCTTATACTAAATATTAGATTTAAAAGAGTAAATGCTATCGTTTACTGGTGTATTGCAAAGCTATCAATTTCATCTAGTGCTTCCTCTCTTTTCCTTTTGCAATAAAATTTAGATCAGGGCTTCCAAGGGCAGTTTGGTAAAGGAAATCCACCTCCACCTATTCCTTGGGACCATGGAGCTACTACCCATTTTCCTCTCCTTCGAGGGACGTGGCCTTACAGTATATCTCCAAACTACATGCAGCAGGGAAATGCCAGCTACCCATTGAACAAACCTTTCTATCCTCAAGGTAGGGTAAGATTTTAATTATGTGATATAGCTTTGATATCTTCCGTTTCTTTGTGGCTGCAGTCTTTAATATATTCTGAAATAGACTGAAATAAAAGCATGGCTTTTTGAGTTCGTATTCACACATAAGAAATGTGTGACGTACAGAACTTTTCATACATTAAATTTCTGAATATTTATATGAATAAATATGGCAGACTTCTTTGTTAACTTGCTACATTTTTACTGATATTTAAATAAAATCTGTCTTTTTATATGGAGTTAACATATTTTACTGCAGCAAGTATTCCATACACCAGACACACATACATGGCTTCTGGTTTATGTATTTGCTTGGAGACATTTCATTACCAATTAGGTGTTGAAACATTTGAAACAATCAAGCTCAGAGACACCAAACTTCACAGTTCAACCCCAAACTACATATATTCTCTTTTATTGGTTTACGTATAGATTAAGGCATTGATTGTTCAAAATAGATATTTAGAGAATGATTGAAGCTGATTTTTATAAATCTAATCCACAAATTGTGGTGTTTTGGTCTTTTCCCCTTTGAACCATTGCCTTTCTGCAGCAGCACTTCCAAGCATTTTTAGACTCAATTTTCAATGTACATGAGATATAAAATGAATTTATTTAATATATACTGCAATAATTTTCTTTTAGCTGGCTTATTGATGCAGAACCAGCGGTTTTCACTTCTGTCTCAAGGACATCCACACTTGAACATGAATTTTATTCAGCAGAAGAAATGAAGTTTAATTAAGGGGATGGGAAGAAATCAGGTTGGAATAAAATGTTATTGCAACATGTTTAGATAAAAAGATTATTTAAAACTTTTTAAGTGTATAATTTGTACATAGATATAAAATATAGTTTTTACTAGTATCACAAGAATTAGTGATACAAATGTCATCTATTTTATTACCCTATTTTTAAGGGAACTGCGTTTTATTTTATCTTGATAAACTGTAAAGAGAGTTTTTAAAATTAAGTTGTTTATTTTCTATTAGCTTTATTCATACTTTGGTTCAGACTTTATATCTATTCTAAAAAGAAATTAGAAGGAATTCATGTGTTAAAGCCTGTCATTTCTTTACTGAACAATGTAGTGCCAAAAAACTTTTTAAAAAGGAAAAAAATAAAATTGGAAAATCCTAAATCATAGCCATATTTTCTTTCACGTTAAGGATTAAATGCTAAATGGCAGTACTTTTTTTAAAAAAGATGAAAAGGGTTGGGCACTATCAATTTTAGCATTTTGGATATGGAAATGTTTGGGATTTGGAGGTCTACCTATAAGGGTATTTGCTGCATAAACATTAAAGAAGCCTCACATATGCCTGTAAAGTGTTGCCATTTAGCTCACTGAACTTTGTGACAGCATACACATTCAGACTTATCCTTCCTTCGTATAACTTCTGGTACATAGCTCTACATGCCTGATATGTCTGTTGCCTATTAAGAGAAGCAAGTGAAGAACAAAACGGCCATTTTCATTAAGTGCAAGTGTTTCTGGAATGGTAATACCACCTTGAGTCTAGGATTGATACATAAAAAGTGCTTTCTGACTTGTGGAAGTATATCTAAATTTACCAACATGAAAATCTTGGTGCTCTAATGAATTAAATATACACAGTGTCTAAAGCAAACTCGAGGCATTGAATTTATGTTCAAATCCTAGTAATTTAGTGAAAAATGTAACAATAAATTTGCCCATATTTTCAAGTCTGCAATCTTATTCCCATTCATTGCAAAATAATCCCAACTGAATGGTATTCCCATCTTAATAAATATGTGTATCTGTGCCATACGTTCTTGTGCCGAATATTCCTATTCTAGGAATAGACATATGAAGCACAGTTCAAATTGGTTTGAATCAGATTTACAATTCAGATTAGAAATAAATCCAAAATCAACTCGGAAAAAATTGTACGTACACAAAAGTTGAAACTTTCACAGACTTGTAATTTGATTTCAGTAACTCAATTGGATTGCTTTTGAACTGAATCAGATATTTGCACTCTCCTGTTTATTATGTATTAATAATGAATATGTTCAGAACAATTATTCATTTTACAAGTATTTGTAATTTAAATCAGTTCTGAATAAGTCAGTCCAAGAAAAAAGATTTTTTTTAAAAAAGAGACATACTTCTGTACCAATTTTTTTTAATAAAGAAATTACAAGACAAACTTTCTTCCTGCTTCACATTTACAATTGTTGTAAAAAACAGGGGTGATCAGAAAATACATTGAAAGGATGTCCATTTTTAGTTAAAGATATCAAACAGGGCAATGAATAAAAATGCAGTCTGGTTCAATCATCTAAATGTGCAAGGATTCGAAATGGGAAAAGATGGGAGTAGACCAGGGGTGTCCAAACTTGGCAACTTTAAGACCTGTGGACATGCTGGATGGGGAATTCTGGGTGTTGAAGTCCACGAGTCTTAGTTGTCAAAGTTAGACCCCCTGGTGTAGATTATCCTCAGTGACCCTGTGACTACATAACACAACCTTAATGTTGACTAGAAAATCTGAATGGAAGAGCTATGAATTTTGATTGTGAGAAGAACTGTCTTAATTATGATCCATAAATATAGAGAATTGGTTTTTTTAAAATCTGTAATTAAACCAAATCAGTTCAGAAAAATAAGGAGACTGAGGCTGGTGCACACAGAGCTATAGGGGTAAATCCACTTTGTATATGTTGTCCTCACTTTGAACTTTATCAGAGCTTACATTGCCCAAGAAACAATGCAAAAAACATTGAGCTGCCACAGGAGCATCTATCTATCAAATGAACTCCTCTACAAAAAAAAAAAAAAAAGCTTCCAATTCATGAAACAGGTTAAGGTTATTCATTTCCCCGACGACTTTTCTTATGGCTTTTTTTAGATCTGAAAGAAGAATAAAAGCTTTTCATTATTCAGTTAACTTGAGTTCAGTGAAACTCACGATCAAGAAATTAAAATTCAAGTTTGCACAATAAGATAGCATGTAATCATTGGTCCAAATAGATCTCTCCACCTATATGAACATATAGCTCAATTATAAAGACTGATTATTCCTCTGGGACAAATCTAGTACAAAACTTCTACAAACTCCTGTGTTACCATTTTGAAATAGCAAAATATGAAATACATACCTTTCTGGAGACTTGGAATGACTACGATGTCTGTGGCTACGATGGTGCCCTGTTGAGATAAGGTACAAACTTTTGACTTTGATTCTGCTCATATAGGTAGTCTTTGACTTATAACAGTTCATTTAGTGATCATTTAAAATTACAACAGCACTGAAAAAGTGACCGTCTTTCACACTTCAGATACTTGGCAACTGACTCATGACGGTCCCCCAGGGTCATATGATCACCTTTTGCAATCTTTTGACAAGCAAAGTCAATGGGGAAGCCAAATTTACTTAACAACCGTGTTACTAATTTAACTCGTGATTTGCTTAACAATTGTGGCAAGAAAGGTGGTAAAATGGGACAAAACTCATTTAATCAATGTATCACTTAGCAACAGAAATTTGGGCTCAATTGTGGTCCTGTACTTAACATAGTCCTTTGATGCTCCATACCATAATAATACAGCATGGTGAAGAGGGGATGAAGCTTTTAATTATTGATAAGAGTCACATAAAAATGTTTGTGTATTATAGAAAATACCCCAAAAAAAGTTTTTAAAAGTCAAAGGAACCATCCACAACTGCCATTCTTAAAGTGTAAATACCTGGAGATTTAGATCTTGATCTGTGGCGTCTTTCTCTAGATCTACTTCGGTGCCTCCTTGGGCTCTTACTGCGATGTCTCTCGCGCCGTGGTGAAGGACTGTTAAGAAGTAATCTGTTAGTGATAAACTTACAATATTTTTAAAAGTTCAATTCAAATATCTTGCATCGTTACCTTCTCCTCTTTGGAGATCGGCTTCGCCTAAACAGGAAGGAGAGGGGATAAACAGTTATTTACTACAATACTTTTAGCACATTATGCTGGTTAGCAATAGTTGAAAGATCCCAAAATGCTACCTTCTAGGAGATCTACTTCGACTTCTTCTGTAGCGCAGTGTTGGAGATCTACGAGGTTTGTCTAAATCCCTATATCCTCTTCTTCTGTGATCAGGGGAAGGGGCTCTATCCAGCTGAAAACATGTCAACAACATGTAAGCTATCCAACATTTGTTCAAATTGTACGCATACACAGGATCAGTGGACCCAATGTTATTTTATTTATTAAACATACCATATTTTTTGGAGTATACGACGCACCTTCCCCCCCCCAAAAGGGGGTGAAAATTTAGGTGCGTCTTATACACCAAATGTAGCCCCGCCCACCCACTGGCCCCCACCTCACAGCAGTTACCTCCTTGCAAGCAAACAGCAAGAAAAAACAGATCCTTTCAGCTTCAGCACAGCCTAATTAGCACAAGTTGATTGGATCGGCCTCCTGACTCTCAGCTGATTTGCTCTCAGCTGTTTTGCGCAGGGCTCTGCTGCTTGCTGCAAAGAGATAAGTTGCTGGAGCAGATTTTTTTTCCCTTGTGCTAATCAAGCTATGCTGAAAACGAAAATTAAAGTAAAGCAAGCTGTTTGCTGCAATGGGGCAAAATTGCTCAGAGGCAGAGGGGGATTTCTTTTTCTTCTTTTCCTCACCAAAAAAGGTAGGTGCGTCTTATACTCCGGTGTGTTTTATACTCTGAAAAATACGGTATATGCCACCCATCTTGCTAAAGGTGATTCTAGGTGACTTACAATCAAAAATGCCAATATAAAACATTAAAAGAATAAATAGTAACATTAAATTTGAATTAAAATTGACAAAGATGGAGAGGAAGGGGGAGCAAGATGTGCACAAGGAAGAGGTGGGGTCTTAATCCATCTCCAGAATGACAACTGGCTCCAGGCCAGTTGGTAGAATCAGGTCTTTAGGCCCTTTCAGAAGGCCCAATGGATAGGTATGAATCTCACCTTGGAGGGGGGCACATTAAATACATTTCCAATAACCCATGTATGAAAAGAGAAGGAAGACAGGCAGAAATACTGGGAAGAATCCTGTGACATATTTCCATGAGAAGTGGCTTTAGCGCATGGAATAGGAAATGAGCCATTTCTTCACCCCAAATATCTGATGAGGATGCAAGAGGAGGAAAAATGTGATTCTCCTGTAACCTCATACTCCAGTTCTTAAGCTAGGTAGGTAATAAGCACCATATCACAATATTCCCTCAAAAAATAAGGATGTGACATTTTTATACTATAAAATCAGCATATGCCCTATAATTCGGCCCCATGCCGAAATAAAAACCTGACAGATTCAAACCTTTTCATCCTCCTCTTCCTCATCCTCACTAGATTCTACATCATCCATATCTTCTTCCAAAGCACTGATCCGTGTTTCCAGTTGTTCAGCTTCTTCTAGAACATATCTTTTCTACAAAGAACGAACAAGTTTCTAAATGCAGACAATACTTCAAACAGGAAAGATTTAATTATGCACTGTATAATCTTTTCACTCCTGAAAGTTTGATTTATAATTTTTTTATAATATAATTGATTATATACCTGTAGTCTAGGTAAAATGATATCACAGACACGCTCATCATGAAGCAATTGATCAATAAACTCATCGACATGCATGAGCTCAAACTCTGGGGGAAAAAAGATTGTATTTAAAAACAGTAACATTTTTAATAAGCTAAGATAAAATTGCAGAAAACACAAAAGGTATGTTTTATAATTTTTTTCTACATAAAAAGCAAGATATACAGTATGTGTGCTTGAGTATGGCAGTTTGAGTTATTGGATGATACGCATTTCTTGCCTCTTCCTGTCTGGTAAGATTAATACTATCCAAAGTGGTCCAGAGGCAAATATTTAATATGAAAAAAGCCGAGGTGGCGCAGTGATTAGAGTGCAGTACTGCAGGCTACTTCTGCTGACTGCCGGCTGCCTGCAATTTGGCAGTTCAAATCTCATCAAGCTCAAGGCTGATTCAGCCTTACATCCTTTTGAGGTCGGTAAAATGAGGACCCAGATTGTTGGGGGCAATATGCTGACTCTGTAAACCGCTTAGAGAGGGCTGTAAAAAGCATTATGAAGCGGTATATAAGTCTAAGTGCTATGGCTATGAAACAAGAATATAGCACCATTTAAGTCAACAGGATGGATATATAATTTAGTCTGTATGTGCTACTTACACAATGTTAGATAATGGGCTTTATAAATGATTGAATAAAGATACACCACTTACCCCCATTTCTATTTTGGCTTTTTATTTTTCGATAATCATTGTATAAAGGTTCAAGGTATTTGTAGCAGTCTATGGCAGTCCCAGTCAGTCTCATATATAATGCACCTAGTAATCTCACATACCTAAAAATTGGCAAAAGCAAAACATAAATTCAGAGTTTCTTTTTCCTATACAATTAGCTGAGGACACAAATATCCTATAATAGAATTTAAATTCACTACCGAGTTATTTCATTACAGATGTTAATTCAAAAATGTCCATGTTGTACCAAATTGCTTGATTTATGCTTATAGGTAATCCATACCTCTTCCTGTATTATTTCTTCCTTTCTGCTTTTCTTTCTCTCTCTCCCCCCCGTAAAAATACTGTACAAGTATTTTAAACCACTTAGAGAAATACTGTACAATACTTTGCTTTTGTAGAAAATGACTGATTTTCAATTTCAATGATACTTTTGAGAACTATTACAAAATTTCCAACAGAGCTGAAGATTAAGAGTTGTGATTGCAAAAATGTACACCATATTAATAATGTAGCCAAGCATAAAAAATATATGTAGAAATAACAAAAGAGTCCTTAATGTGAATCAGTAGCCCTTGTTATTTATGGGGGTTCTGTTCCAGTCTTTAGCTGTGTGTAATGAAACCTTGAATTTATGAAATTTGTGGGTGGGGAAGGGTTAGATTATGGAGCTTGAAAAATGGGTCTGTGAAGTTTGGGGCAGAGTGAGTTGATGGAAAAGAACTGCAAAACTGTAAAACTACAGGAGGGGAAGATTTAAGGACATGCTATCTGATGGGATTAGCAGCAGTTGCTAAACAAATGGTTGGGCAATGGCCTAATATGTACATTTACACTTGCAAAAAGTGATGGATGGATAAGAAGTAGGAAATAAATATGACTGATACCCAAAACCTTATACCATTGAGAATAAATCTGATTTATATTTACCAAACAAAGATAAGAGAAACCATGAACAAGGCTACCATCTGTACCAGTAAGTCTATTTATTTTAAATTACACCTCCATATTATTTTCTTCTCTTACTTGAAGTCTTCATTCTTTATAAATTCAACAATGATGTCTTTTTCAGGCTGAATCTGTAGCATCTTCAGAGTCAGGCACAAGAATGGTGTAGGCTTTATGTTCCCACCATAAACTCCACCAGTGTATCTCAGTTCCATAGCTTTATCTACAACCAATTCAGCTACAAAAAAAAATCATGACAATTCCATCAGATTTTAATATTAAAATTGTGTGTCTGGTTGTTTCATTTTTAATAAGATAGTGGCTGTAACCATCTAGGTAAAAATTATCAGAAGACACAAGAATTATGGAGTGTAGGTCAGGTAGGTCAGAATTAATAAGACCTTGAATAATGTGATATTCAATTTAGGGTGAATTGTAAATTGATATCAGGCTGCTTCAAATGCAGCCCAAAATTCAGTTAATGCAAGACTAGTATCTGTGCAATTGAGTCTAATGCATGCACAGTTATGGCTGGGGTTTAAAAATTTTAATGGACTATTTCTGTGATGGTGAGCCTATGGCATGCATGTCAGAAGTGGCATGCAGAGCCATCTCTCTGGCCACGCGAGCAGTTGCCTGTTGCTCTTCTGGGTTCCGGCCAGCTGGTCTTCAAGCGCGTGGGAGCACCGGAAACCGAAAGAACAGTTGTCCAGTGTGCATGTGCGCACCAGGGTGATCATCTTCCTGGCGCACGCATGCGCACCGGATGGTTCCTCTTCCGGTTTCTGGCACACGTGCTCGCTCTCGTTTCGGCACTTGGTGCCAAAACAGTTTGCCAACACTGGCCTATTTCCATTGAGTTGGAACGAATTACCATATTTTCTATAGCAAAATCACTTTTAATAGTGCAAATTCAAATACTGCAACCATTTCATGGGATTTATTAACTGCACTAGTTGAGACTGACCTGTATATAATCACACTGCAGCTTCCATGTAATTTTTTGAGAATCATTATTTTTCATTTGTAACCTTCCTGTGCCTTACAAAAGAAGATTTGAGGAAGAAGAAAAATATTTTCACAGGTTCTTTTAATTACAGTGTGAAAAGGACATTCCCCTATAAAAAAGACTTTCCAGTTATGTTTAATCACTGTTTGTTGGGATGCTCTATTAATGTAGTAACATTTTTTCTTCTTCAAAGGATGATGAAAGGTAAAACAGGATCAGCTATCCTTGACTTGGTATTAGAGAATAGGAAACATATCAGGGAAATAAAAGTAGCAGGAGAAAAATGACTACATAATATGATGTTCTTATTGTTAAAGGATCAGAAACTGAATATATTGCATATGTATCTTAGACTTCAAAAAAGTAGATTTTACTAAACTTTGTAAAAATTACAAATGGGACTAATGGCAAGAAAAAAAGCTGAATATGGGTAATGCTTCCTAAAAAAGGATATTAAAAATACAATTGCAAACAATTAAAAATATAGGAAACAGAGAAAGTACCCAAGGAAGAGGAACTACATGTCACCAAAATTTGAGAGATGGTTCCAAATGACTGAAAAGCAAACTGAGTTGAAGTTGTTAAGAATGAAGGAAAAAGTTATTTTTCAGATTTATTCAAACTCAGACAACCATACACCAGTTACTCAATAATGAAAGTAAAGGAAGAATTACTCAAGGTCTGTTTCACTCCGCTCTGAGAAGTTACATGTTCCCTCAGGGAATGAAAAGAATTGAAATTTAACATTAATCCATGGGTAAGGTATTTGAGTTAAATTGTTCAGATCCAGATGAATTACATCTTAAGATGCTAAGATAGGCCTATAAGAGTCTCCTTATATGAGAGTGAAGTGGCATAAAATTTTAATAAACACCATTTGGAACATTTAAGGATTTTCTCCCTAAAATGGACATTTATCTCCCTGAAATGGTTATGCACTTTTGTGCATCACTACCTGTTTCCCCCCAAAATAAGACAACTCCTGATTAATAAACCCAATCGGGCTTTTGAGCGCATGGCAATAAGGCCAAGCGCTTATTTCAGGGTTCAAAAAAATGTAAGACAGGGTCTTATTTTCGGGGAAACAGGGTAGAGATGGATTTCCCCTGGTACGCTCAGACTGAGGGTAGATACCTGTTCAAGATTTTTTTTTTTTTTAATTTGGATTCCTGCACTAAGAAAGGAAGTTAGACTCAAATCTATATAGCTCTTTCCAGATCTACCATCCTGGTTTTGAAAATATCTGCTCATTTCCCAAAGCTTCCCTTGACTTTAGACGGGTGGGCAACTGTGGCCCTTTTACAACCTGTGGACTTCAACTCCCAGAATTCCTGAGACAGCTAAGCTGTCTCAGGAATTCTGGGAGTTGAAGTCCACAGGTTGTAAAAAGGGCCACAGTTGCCCACCTCTGACTTTATAGATACTTTGAATTGCGAGTCATTTGGTGTCAACACGTTAAAATAAGATTGCTACACAATCTTGACAGGAGGAGACCGGCTGCCCTCGATTAAAACAGGGGTTAAGTATTACCTAGGTGCCCTTTCGTTTCACCAACCGTTCCGTTTGGTTTCCAACTCCCAAAATCTCCTCTCTCGCTCCCGATCTCCCGAAAAAGCCCCAACGGTTCCCACCACCACCACGCCCCCCCCACCCCGTCCATGATTCCCGATCCGCCCCCGTTGCTTCGGATCCAACTGCCCACATCGCTCAACCGCACCTGTGAGACCGAAGCATTCTTCCTTCCAGTACTTGGACTCGTAGATGCGGGTGCGGATGATCTTCTCCACCAGATACTGCGGGTTAGTGCCGTGGATGCTGTGCGCGTCTTTTACCGTCCGGTTTGCCATGGCCCAGTAGGGTACAAAGCCCTACAAAGCCTTACAAAGTGGGAGCGTTTCCAGAAGGGACAGAAAAGAAAAGGGGGGGGAGTGAGAAAGAGCGGCCTACAAAACTCTACCGCTCTCCCTATCCCTCCATTTTCACTTCCGCTCCGGGTTCACTTCCAGAGAGAGGAAGGGGCAGGCGGTCGACACTTCCGCCGGCCTCTCTTCATCCCCGGAAATAAGAATTGAGGGTTTTTTGTTTTTCCCCCCCCGCCCCCCACAGCCAGAAACAAACATGGCGTCTCTAGAGGCGCGCAGATTTCACTTCCGGGGCGGAGCGACAGGACTTTGGCGCGAAGTTTCATCTCGCAGGAGGAAGAGGGAAGCTGTCGCCGCGCTGAGCTTCAGATTGACGGGTTGCTGTTTTTATTTTTTGTTTTTTTTCCCCCCGTGCCGAGTTTCATCGGGCTTGAAAGAATGAATTGCAGCCCCTCGTGGAGGAAATCGTTGCCACGTAAGGTTTTTTTGTTGTTGAACGACAGGATTGCTAGCTTTCTAAGAAGCTTGAGTGGCAGATTCATCTTCACTCCAGGGTCCCTTAAATACTTCTCTATTATGTTTAGGGAAGGGGTGTTTGTGTAGGACAGAGGTCTTCAAACTTGGCAGCTTTAAGATTTGTGGACTTCAACTCCCAGAATTCTCCAGCCAGCTATGCTGGCTGGAGAATTCTGGGAGTTGAAGTCCACAAGTCTTAAAGCTGCCAAGTTTGGGGACCCCTGGTGTAGGAGAATAACACAGAAGCTGAGGATGGAGCATTGCCCTAACAACGGAATATTCCAGTACTTTTCCTCTTTTGCTCAGATGGTGTGTTTATTATACAATCTGATTTTTCCTGTTTGTTTTTTTTAACAGATACCATAAACACAAGAAGTCAGGGAAAACGCATCTATTCGTGGATTGGCAAGGCTATATCTACAGACAGAAAATTGCAGATTTCTCATTATAGGTGTGTCAGTCTGTTTTAGTTACTTCTTGTTCGAGAGCAAAATGTGTACCGTAGTTCTGGAAAAATGCATAATAATGCAGTAGTGCTGATAATTGAGCAGTACAGGCAATGCTGAACTTACGGTCATTTAGTGACCGTTCAAAGTTACGACAATACTGAAAAAAGTGAGGGTCGTTTTTCACACGACTTGCAGCATCCCTATGGTCAGATGATCAAAATTAGGGTGCTTGGCAACTGGTTCATATTTATGACAGGTGCAGTGTCCTGAGGACATGTGATCAGCTTTTGTGACTTTCTGACAAGTCAACAGGAAGCCAGATTCACCTAACAACCGTGTTATTAACTTAACCATGCAATGATTCACTTAACAACTCTGTCAAGAAATGTCGTAAAATGATGAAAAACTCACTTAACAATTGTCTCAGTAACAAAAATTTGTGGCTCAATCATGGTCGTAACTTGAGGACAAACTGTAATAGATATAAAAACCATTCTACATGACTCCATATGGCAATAATAATTTATATATACTACTGCCAGTATGCATGGTGCATTATGGAAGAAGAATCAAAACAAAAGCAAGCCCTGTCAGTATCTAAAATTTTGACAAAGGGGGTAATAATGAATAGAAGATGGGGAATGGTATCCAATGCCTTTAAAGAAATTATTTATCATTTTTAGGGGAATATCTATTAAGTGTGAAAAAGATATCAGTGACATCTGTATTTTCCCTGGAGAGTTTATTTTCATAGAAGAAGAAGAATATGATCAACTTTTTGTGGCAAGACTCTTAAAACTATATGAAGATGGTAAGTTTTTTCCGTCTCTTCCCTATACAGCAGTTTTCCAATGCTAAGATAATTTTTCTGTTGAATATTTGTAAAAGAGATTGTTAAAAAGTAATATATGATACTAAGAAGCTAAAGCATTTTTGAAAAATGGCAGAAATTTTTGTTCCAATTGTGGTGGTAAATTGAGCACTACCTGTATCAGTCTACAACTATTGGCTCAAATTAAATATACCATTTTAGCAATAGTTGATAGCAAAAGGTTGACACTTACTTAAGAAACCAAAGAAATGTATGTTTCAAAAATCTTCAAAGGGTCTTGGTAAGTAATATTTTTTTCTACTCTAGGTGCTCAGGAGAAACATGCAGTTGTTGAGTGGTTTTCTCGTATTGAAGAAATACCATTTGGTCTCCGAAAAAGTTTGGGACAAAAAGCTACACAGGAGATATTCTTGAATGAGGAGACTGAATGGGATACTGATGTATTTGTTTCATCTATTGTTTGTAAAATTATGGTGAGTAGTAGCGTATTCAAATGTGTCAAGGCAAGAAAAGGAAAATGTCTTCAGAACTTCTTTGATGTAGTTTACAGTAATTATAATCCTGAGATAGCTCATTCCTGGCAGCTTCAGGGCTGACATTTCTTCTTGGATATGTGAGACTAAACATGAAAGGCAGCAGTTTAAAAAGAATATAAAGTAATTTTTATTATATTTTATTATACATTATATTCTATGATAAATAGCCTATCATAGGGTTAGTCATGGTAGTTCTACTTCATCCGTTTTGACACTTCACTTATTTATACATTAATTTAGAGCCCTGGTAGTGCATTGATTAGAATGCAGTATTATTGTAGGCTAATTCTGCTGACTGCCAGAAGTTTGATTTTGACCAGCTCAGGGTTCATCGGCTCAGTCTTCCATCTTTCCGAGATTGGTAAAATGAGGATCCAGATTGTTGGGGGGAATATGCTGACTTTGTAAACTGCTTAGAGGGGGCTATAAAGCACTATGAAGCGGTATATAAGTCTAAGTGTTATTGCTGTTTCCGTTGATGGACAATTTGAGCACTGTATTGACAACACTTCTGTATAAACATGCTTCAATAGCATCAGCCAATCTGATTTATTTTATTTAAAAGATGTGTATGGCCACTCATCTTGGAGCACACCTGGGCAGCTCATGACAATAATAAAACTAAAAACCATAAAAAAGAAACACTAAAAAAAAATGGTGCCCCAGTCATCTCCCAAGATGCCCCAACAAACTATCCATAAATTCCATTCAATCTGTTCCAGTTCATGAGTAAGATCTTAATAGCCTTCTGGAAGGCTAAAAAGGTGGAGTCTGCTGGATCACCTCACAAGGTAGAGACTTCTATGAAAAGGATACACTTCCTAAGTCCCATTAAATGGCAATATTTCAGGAAAGGAACCCGGAACATGCCTACCCTGTTAGGCAGAAACTCTCAGCAAGAGACAAATAACCTATGCTAGGTAGGAATTTAAAGTTTAACCAGCACTTTGAATGACACCCAGAAGAAAACAGAACCAGTGCAGCTTTTGCAACAGGAATGTAAGTTGGGTGAATCTAGGGGTGCCTATTGCAGCTTCTGTATTCTAGACCAGTTGTGGCTTCTGGGTGGTCTTCAAGGGCATGTATAGTTCATGGCATTTCCTAAACAATGTTTTATATTGTTGATTATTAGTGTAGAGTTGATCACTTAGCTTACCTTCCCCAGTCTAGTAAGATTATAGTCCTGGTGATCCCCAATTACCATGACCATTGTAGTAACAAAACTTCTGAGAAACACTATATTAGATTAATTGGGCAGTGGCTTTTTGTAATTTGAATTATTAATGTTTATATAAGTTGTATGTTACAAATACCATCTTAGGCATCAGCTATTCCTGATTCTAATATCAAATCAGCATCTCTTAAATTACTTCTATACACGTACACTGTTTAGAGATAGTGAAAAGTATTATTCCTAAGCTAATACTATATATGATTCACTAATACTGTAACTTATGAATAGTACCAGCCCTAGATATATATGATGATTTCAATAGATAGCAGTAGCTAGTCACTAAGGTGGCTTGCCTCTAGTTACTACTTGGATTAGGCACCATCAGTTATTCCAGTGTTTTCAGCTAAGCCAGGCATTTATTTTAAAAAAAATCAAAGCAGCAAACCATTCCCACTCTGCAAAGGAAATTACATACATGCAGCCATTAGTAATTGAACTCAACTGCATCTTTGCAAGTCAGAGAGTTAATTGTAAAAATATGAGTTATAGTTCCCACTGTTTTGTTAAATATTCCTCTCCTCAAAGGACAAGTCAGTTTTCATTACATTTTGAGGAAATACATTCCTTAATTGACCTTTTGTTATGTTTAGAACTACTTGACGTTTAAACTCTTTGAATTATACTTTCAGTATAATTTTATAAGCTTTGATACGTTGATCACATTATTTTACTGTTACTGCTGTGTAAATGGACAACTTTGTGCCGTTTTGCTGTTTTAGGTTATTCCCTTATCACCATGTGAAACATTGCCTACTGAAGTAAAAGATAAGCAAGTTATGTTTGTAAGGAAATCTTGGGATGGAAAAAAGATAAAGCCACTGAGACCCAATTTACTGGCAGAATTGAAAAATTCCATTAAACTAAAGAGTGATATAAATTTTGCAACCGAGTGCACCCGGACTCCCTCTCGCTCGCTGGAAGAAGGAATCGAAAATGTCACTTGGAGTACCAGAGAAAGCAATAAAAGCAGTACAGAAGTAAAACTGAGACGTTCAGCTGCTAAGTCTTCCTTGTTTAAGCAGAGATATTTCCCAAAACTGGCCAGTGGAGACATCGCTGGAGCAAAGAAAAGATTACAGTTAAACAGTATGTTTGCAATAATTGGGTATTGCTGTCTTCACCGTTAGAAGATATAGCTCTGTAAATTGCCACATGGTTTATGTACTGAATAGCACCTTATTAATTTTAGGGTATATAGGAAATCTTTGACGTATGACCACAATTAAGCCCAAAATTTCCATTGCTAAGCAAAACAATTGTTAAATGAGTTTTGCCCCATTTTACAACCTTTCTTGCCACAGTTGTTAAGCAAATCACTGCAGTTATTGAATTAGTAACATAGTTGTTAAGTGACTCTGTCTTCCCCATTGACTTTGCTTGTCACAAGGTCTCAAAAAGTGATCACATGACCTTGGGACACTAACCGTCATAAATATGAGCCAGTTGCCAAGCGTTGGAAGTTTGATCACGTGACCATGGGGATGCTGCAATGGTCGTAAGTGAAAAATGATCATGTCATTTCTTTTCAGTGCCATTGTAATGTCGAAGAGTCACTAAAATGGTTGCAAGTCAAGGACCTTCAGATTTTTTTCAGATGAAAGGCATAATTAACAATGATGGCTTCTAATCTGGCACTCAAACAACTGAGGGTTTTCTTGAGCTGGGTTTGTTCATTTCTGCTGCTGCATTTGATGCATAAATACCTGGAACAGAAACAAAATTCTGTCCCTACTAGTATAACTTACATGATTACTCACATAATTGTGCAGGTTTATAGGTATATCACGATCAGAATTTTTTATCATTTCCTTGAAAATTGGGGAAGCCTTTGTAAAAAATGGGGGAACAAAAGATATTGTCCTTCCATGTTATTACTTGGATGTAAACCTAAAGGACTCAACCATTCTAGTTCAAGGTCTCGGAGACCAACTAAGTTTTTGACAGTTTATGAAAAATCAGTAAGGTCTAAGTTTGTTTCTTGGAGGAAACTTTAGAAATTAGGTTGCAGGCCAGAAGAAATTTGACCTCAGAGATACAGAGGGGCTTATGTATTCAGAAATTATCATTCTTTAATGACCTCTGTTAAATCTATGTTCTATGTTCTGATTTTTTTCTTTTTAGCACCTACAAAATCTAGAAATACGCTTGCAGTGCAACAAGATGTGATAGAACTTCTAGACTGTAGTTTGATTGAAACTCCTCAACGATCATCCCTTAAAAGAAAAGTAACATTTACTGGCATTAAAGGTTCTCCTAAAAAAATACCTTGTGTTTCTGATGAGGAAGATTTGCTCTTAGATATAAAACCACTGGATGAGCAGCCTGAAAGAACTACAACAAATTTACTAACTCCGTGCCAGAGGATCCAAGATTCCAGTCTGAAAATCAGCAGTTCTGCTGTGACAGAAAGTGGCAAAGGGTAGGGACCAGCATTATATCCTAAATTCAGAAGTGTGGTCTTCTGAACAGCCTATGTTCTTGTTTCTATATTAACATACTATTTTTCTTCAAGCAAGACACAGGTATCCCTTTCTGTTTAATATTAATTTTCTTCTTTTCTGTAATAATTTGCTGACAGGCAGAAATTTTAGCTTTTTAATAGTGGGGTTAAATTTAACAGATTAATAACTACACTTGAATACGATTCCATGGGTTAAATTTTGTCTGCCTAGATTGTTTGTATCTGTTTCTTGAATAATTGACAATAGTGAAGTTGGTGAAGGTGTGTATTTTTCATAGAATATATTAGTCGCATTTCTTTATAGTTTAGATGAAGAACGTGAGTTGGAAACAAGGAATTCAGCGATGACTCCACGTTCACGCAGAAAATGTGCAGAAGTGACTGCTGCTCGAATTGCAAAACAACTTGGGTGAGACTGTTATCCATACCACGTTTTAATTTTGTAGGCTGTTTAGTGTTTATAGTCTGTTAGTAACGACAAATTATTGGTGGAAATAATTGCCTTATATAAGCATGTTTACAAATATATTGTTGGATAGAAATACTTTTTTAAAAGAAAAGATTGTCCAAAATTGATCTTCGTATCAATGAAAATAAGTGGACCAAATCTGGATCCATAACCCTCACTAAACAATAAATGACCAAACAAGGGATTGATTTAGCATGGTGGCCATATGCAAATACAATCAAAATATGAGAAAGACGCAAGAATGTATAACTTTCATAAAGAACCAACAGAATTAGATTAAATACTACTAGGGACAGATGAAAAATTAATTTAAATATATATAATTATTTACTGAGTATTAAACTGGAAGAACAACAAATGAAAGAAACAATGGTAAGATGGGCTAAAAACTACCCAATGGGCTATTCTACCCAATAGAATTAGATAAATGGCAGAAACTGGGATAGAAATTGTAAGCTAACAATGTCAACAGCCTATAAGGAGAACTTATATAAAATGTTTTATAGGTGGCATTTATCATCAGCGAGATTAGCAAAGATGTATGAAAATTTATCAGTTAAATGTTGGAAGTGTAATCAGATACCAGGTTCATACTGTCATATGTGGTACACATGCTCAAAGGCAAAAAACTACTGGACTAAAATACACAGTTGGCTAGAAAAAATGATAAAACAACACAGATTTGAAACCAGAGATATTCTTGTTGGGTATGTTACCAGAACAGTAAGACAAAGGGAAAATATATTTAATTTTACATGTATTAACGGCAGCAAGAATTGTGTTTGCACAACAGTGGAAAAATGAAGAGATCCCTACAGATGAAAGTGTTATTAAAAAAATATTAGAATGTGCTGAGATGGACAGGTTAACACTTAAAAGAAAAGAAAAGGAAGAAACAGAGTACTTTTTGACATGGGACTTGTTTTACCAATGGTTAATTAACAGAATCAGAGATTAGAATCTAAAAAGATCTAAAAGATAATAAGAACTTTTGTATTAAAAACTTTGTAAGATAGATAATCTAATTGTATTACTATTTTGCGATTATTACGGATATGTTTATTATGATTAATGTTGATCAATATGGCATTTCTACTTAAAATTAATTGTGCCTAGACAGCACGCTGTTCAGATAGATATGGAATTTTTATGTGATATAAAAAATGTATTAATAAAACATATATTAAAACACTTTGATGAAAAAAACCCCACCCCTCACTGTGATTCATTCCTAGGACATTCTTTTTACCCTTACCTACTTTTTTTAATCTTAAATGTAAACTTTGCAGTTTAAATGATAAGATTGATGCACGTAATCTCACCTTCACTTTCTACTGAGAAGAGAATTTGCTTATATCCCAAGTTTTGAATTAAAATGGCCATACCCATTTGTCAGCATGGCCGTTGCAGAGTTTATTGGAGATATAGCCAAATATATGATGGAGACATCAAGACTGTTAAGTTGTAGTTTGTTGTCTAGCCTCCCTTACAAACCAAATGTTAGGTTCTTGACAGGCTTTCAAGATTGTCTTCCAATAGTTTATTAGCAAAAAAAAAAAAAAAAAAAAGATGGTTACAGAATTCCAAGTTGTTTTGTTCTCAAATTTTTTCAAGATAGTTATCTAGCTCAGCATATAGCTAATGTGATTAAGGCAAAATAACTGAAGGTGTTTCTCATGCTTTCTCTTCCCTTGACTGAAGTGTTTTTTGCAACAGTCCTGTTTCCCTCTCTGCTTTCTCGGAATCTGTTAAGACATTCCTTCTCAGAAGAGTAGTTTGGAATGATAGTTCTCTAGATAGCTAGGCCTTGCATGCCTTTTTGAAGAGGAAGCACACCTTTCAAAACCTGTGGCATTACTTAATCCGCTAAAACCTCAAAGGACAGCGATCTAATTTAAAGTTGGCTGAGTTCAATCTAATTTAATCTAATTTAAAGGTGGCTGAGCTCAATTCAGAGGTCCCCTGTGATTCCTTACACATCACAGGCTCAAAAGAATCTTAGATAAAGCAGGGTTTTCTGTCACCATGTCCATGAACATGGGCTCATATCTGGCTGATCATAATATCATTGTCTTCATCCAGTGTTGTTCCAGTGTTGTCTCTTTTTCTGCTTATTGTCCAAAATTCAAAATTTGATGTATCTAATTTCTTTCTTTAGTGTTTTGAACGCAGCTGGAGATAAAGGCAAGGGTAAGAAGTGTCTTAGTCCCTTGGAAACTTCTGATTCAGATAGCAGTGATGAAGAAGACAACAAGAGACTTCATACACCTAAAAGGCAAACAAAATCCACTCCTCTCAAGTTCTCAAAGAACCAATCCAGGGGGACACCTGCCAAGGATCCAAGGAATAGTGTAAGAACTACAGGCATTTCTGAAAACAAAAAAAAGTACTTCCAACAATCATATAAACATAAAATAAGTTCTTGATTTTGCAATTTCAGGAATATATAAAATTTAGTTTGGAATTTATAAATGGCGATAACTGAGAAGAACAATCAAATAATACCATCTTCATTTTACCTGATCAAGCTAAGCTGTGTCTTTGTATGTGTGTTAGGATCATTTCAATCAATTTCAACTCCTGGCAACATGAACAGATCAATATAGTTTCCTTGGCAATATTTTTGGAAATGGTTTACCATTCAGGATTTGTTTTTTTAATTTCCCGGTCTTGTTCTGGTGTTGATTGGCTCTAAGTCACTTAGCTGGCTTTTATTTCCAAGGGAGAATGAAAATACAGTTCCTAGTCCAAATGCTCCTAGTCCACTACCTTTAATCACAACAAGAAACTGACTACAAGGTGAACTACAAAATTCCAAAGAGGAAATAATGTAAAACTGTTTCCGCCTTTCCTTCTTTCAGTCCAATTTTGCATTGAATATTCATTTAAATTCTATGCCAAATAAATAATGTATTAAGCATTACAAATGTTTGGTTTAATTTTTTCAATTATTATTTTCAGCAGTTTCAAACAAAGGAGAAGGCAAACAATTATGTTCGTAAAAGAGAAAATAACAATGATTTTTCTTGCAGTCTAAACCAAGTACTCCAAAAACTCCACGTAATGCCACCCCAAGAATACGCAGCCGAAATCAGACTGCCCAGAAGCCAGTCAATGTGCTAGAAGAGGCAAGAATGAGGTAAAGTAAAATAATCCTCGTATTTCCTAAGGGAAGAAATAAATAATAATGTAGTTAAAGAAAGAGAAGCTAGAAGTTAGCCTTTGAGGGTGATGTAAATGATATTATTTAGTACAGTAAGAGATATATAATGGTACCTTTAAATAAACATTCTTTGTGTTATGCATGTCTTATTCTTCCTGTTCTAAGTTTGCATATAAAATATTTTTTACTTTGGATTAGCGTTGAAGTTATAAAGTCACCTTTAAAAAACTTACCCCTTTTTTAACCCAGCACTATTTGAAATGAATTCTTAGAATATTTGCATAACAACTCTTAATAAATTCTATTCTGTGCCTAGCACCTTACTTAGAAATCATATAACCGGGGTCTCTAAAATTGACATCTTTCCTCCTCTTTTGCTTTAATTGACAGACTGCATGTTTCTGCTGTCCCTGAAGCCTTGCCCTGCCGTGAAAAGGAATTCCAGGATATCTGTAACTTTATAGAAAGCAAGCTTCTTGATGGTACAGGAGGGTGAGTGTTTCTTGGCATGCTATTCGTCCATTTTCAGTTTCATTAAAGGAAGGGAAGGAAAAAAAAGAAATCCAGGTCATGCTGATGTGCCAAAACAATGATAGCAAGTTTTCGCATAAAAGTTCTTTTTCTATAAGATTACAACGCCTTTTACAATTTCTTGAAAGTCGTGCATTCTTATTACACAGATTAAAAGAAATACCTTGTTTATTAATAAACACTTATTAACATGTTTTGGCTGCAATTTGCTAAATACATTCCATTTTGGAATGAAATCCAAATCTTCATCTTTATTACCCAGTCCATTGGGTGTGGAACTGTCCATTCTCAGATCTATCCACTTGTCTGTGATTATTTTTATTTTAAGAAGGATTAAGTAACTTTTTGGGGCTTTAAGTAGGAGTTAAGGAAATAACACATTTTCAGAGTTTCCTTATAAAAGTTCCAGGAACAATCAACATAGCTAAAGCTGCAGCTGAATCATTAATCATATTTAATCTGACTAAAGGGACAATTGTTCTAAGGTTGTATAAGGCAGCTTTTTATTAGAAAAACAGAAATCTTCATGATTAGTATTGGTTCTCTTGTGTTTCAGGTGTATGTACATTTCTGGAGTTCCTGGAACAGGTAAAACAGCAACAGTCCATGAAGCTATTCATTATCTTCAGCAGGCAGCAGAAAATGACGAGATACCAGCTTTCCAGTTTATAGAGATTAATGGAATGAAACTGACTGATCCCAACCAAGCCTATGTGCTAATTTTAAAGGTGAGTATGCTTGAGAAAAATGGAATTGGGCAAGAAGCTTTTTCAGTAGTTTCTTAAATTCAGAGGGTGAGCTTGCCTGTCACTAGGAGTGTATTTTCTTGCTATGCGACAGTGTTTTCAGTCCCTGTCTTCAAGATGAATAATTTGGTTATGGAGTGTAATCTAGCACATTGTTTTCATGGAAGTTGGTAGATCGATAGTCTTGGCTGACAAAAATGAATGGCCCAGACACATCCAGATGACTTACATACCTATGGAGGATTAAAACCTCAATCTTCCTGCTCTTAGTTCAACATCTTAACCAATACACTACATTGGCTCTCTGCTCCAGGTGTACACACCCAACATGTGTTTCTTTGTGTGTCTACACTACTGACACAACTAATGACTTGTGGATAATGGCTGTCTTTTAAAATTTGGAAGATTGCAAACACTTAAGTACTTATTTATAGCTAAATATGAAGTGATCAGGGAATGATTCAGGGTTCAAAAATTCTGCAATTAATGCAGATATCTCTCCAAATATATTGTTTAAACACATAGGCAGATTAACAGCTGTTGGCCTTACTTTCTGAAGTTAATGAGGACTAAAGGCAATACTTTTGGAAGGATAAGTAAGTGTATGAGCTGACAGATGTGCTTCACTGTTTATGTTACCATCCAGGGAAATATTTGGAGTTTATTAATAAGTGGATTCTCAGGCAAGATTTTAAAAGGAGTCGTAGGACTCCTTACAACTTGCACAATTTCAGACAATACTTAAATCACATTAATAAAGTGGCAGAAGTATACCATACCAACATTCTAAGATATGCCTGTTAAAGATTAACTGGTTTGATTAGCACAGCTGGGATATGCTGTAGACATTTATCTGAATACAGCTTAAGTAGAATAGTTGCACTAAATTATCTCTCCCTGAAATGTGCCTTTTACTCCTAAACACAAAACCCATAGTAAAACAATTACCATGAAAAGTATTTTTTTTTACTGAAACATATCTATATATGACAGAAAGATGAATAACAGGCTTTTATAAATGAAATAATACATGAAAAGAAACAGCCAGAAAAGTTTTAACTATAAATTTGGCCACCCATGGCAAAATTGCAGCAAATATAACAACAACAACGACAACAACAATAATAAATATAAAGCTAAAAGGAAACTTTCCTGAAAACAAGCAAATGAACAAATTTGCTAAACAATCTAAAATCCTGACTATGCATCAAGCTCCATTGTCGTCATACTTTAAAATGTTTACAATACAGTTTAATATTTAAAACAACAGTGAAGATCTGGCTGCTATGGTCAAGCTGGATGAAGTTAGGTATTACGAGGAAAAGATTCTTACCTCCTTGTATTTTTTCAGGTATTTCTCAATACAAGAAGAGACATAGGACTCCATCTCCCACAAAAGAAAAATAATGGGTCATATGAAAAACATCCTTAAAAATGGAGTTTCATAAGGGTGGTTCTGTCTGACTTCCACTGGCTTAGCTTTTAAAAAACTCATTGTGTCCTTCCACCTCTCCTTTCACTCTTCCTGTTTTATATTCATAATAAAACAGAAAAATTATGTCTGCTTTATTATATTTCAGCTCTAAGTGGGTTTATGACTTTACAGTCTGATGGTGTTCAACATAAAAAATGAATGTAGGTCTGGCAGAAAGTTTATCTGGATATTAGTTCCATTATGACAAATTGAAGGTAATGTAATTCTGTAAACTTATAGTTTTTAGGTGAGTTCTTCCATCTGTCCTTCCAAAGCTGACATGTCACACTGAATATAGTAGGATTTACCTCTAGATAAACATATATAGAATTATACTATCGCTATAGCAGAATTCATTACTGCTGCACAAGATTGTAACACCAGTCTCCATTTAATTTGATCTAGCTATTGACAGGCCAGAAGGCAACTGCCAATCACGCAGCTGAACTTCTGAAAAAGATGTTTTGCACACCTGGATCAAAAAGGAAAACTGTAGTACTTGTTGTGGATGAGGTAATGTGGGAGTAGTTAGAAGATTTTTTTTTAGTTTGTTTTGTATGTATTTCAGAGTCATGGGGCTGTTGTAAGATTGAAATGGTCTAAAATGGTCATCCTTGTCAATAAAAACAATGTAAATTATTTCAAAACACTTTCATTCTCTTCACCTGAATAAGAGGAGCCTACAAATATTAATTAAAAATAAAAACCATCTCTGCTGAGTTTAAAGTCTTTAAAAAAGAATGCAAAGCGGAAAAGCTATTTTCTGTGTTCCTTCCTAAACTGATACATTTCTGTAGATTTCAGTTCCAGCTATATAACAAGCACTTATTCTTCAAATAGAAATGTACTGATTCAGAGAAAGAAATATACAGTATTTTTCTTTAGATACTTATATTTGCAGTGCTATCCATAGATGAAGATAATTAAAAATAATGCATGTTGTATTTGAATAAGGCTAATCCAAAATATTTTTCTGCAGAACTAAAAAAATTAGAACCAGAACTTTTACATCTTTGTAGCATATATTTTCTCCATCTGTAACTTTGTATCAATTTCTTCTTTAATCTAGCTTGATCTTCTATGGACTCGAAAACAAAATGTGATGTACAATCTCTTTGACTGGCCCACCCAGAAAAATGCCAGGCTAATTGTCTTGGCCATTGCTAACACTATGGATTTGCCAGAAAGAATAATGATGAAAAGAGTAGCCAGCAGGCTGGTACGTCTATTCAACTCTTATTACTGTGGTTATGTTGCATTCATGATGTTTTCAGAAATTAATGAAAAAGAAGGAATGAGATATTACAGTGCTGTGCTTTGCAATCAGTTGTTACTGGTATGAGAAAAATTCCAGATAAATTCTCAACCTAATTGTTTGAGATGCCACTTTAGATATGGTCTGAATAAAGAAAAGTTTAGTAGATACCATTTACTAGGAGTTTAAATAATGGTGTTATGCATTTGATTACTGTATTTTTCTGTTCTGAACTAGTCATTTATAGAACTAGATATCAAACATAGGAGTCTTTGTGGTGCTAGAAGAAAGAAGGATTCTGATGTGGGAGTGTTCAACCCATGATAATAGGCTGGAATGCATAGAGTTTTGGAAAAACTACTTGCAATAATAATATCACAAGTTCTGAATAAAACATTTCAGTAGTTTATGCCTAAAATCGCATGACTATTTGGTGCATACATTTTCAGTTTCCATATAAGATAATTAAAAAGCATTTTGGATAGAAAAACCATCATATAAGGTTAAACACAACTGCACATCCCATAATTTATTCTATCTCTACACTTCATACAGTTTGTCAGATTTATTGAATATCCATTTCAAGAGCTTTCAAGAAGTTTGATGTTTTCCATTTTGCAGGGCCTTACCCGAATGTCTTTCCAACCGTACTCCTACAAGCAGTTACAACAAATTATTTCATCCAGAATCAATCAGTTAAAAGCATTTGAAGAGGATGCAGTTCAGTTCATTTCTAGAAAGGTAAATTGATTGACCATAGCAGCAGCTGTGTGCAATTTTTTTAAAAATTAACACTGTTCTTAGTAATGATTGAACTCTAACCGTAAAGTACAAACTATATATCAAACTGATGGATCTAGGTCTGTATCATAAATTAGAAAAATTTTAAAGAAGTGCTTCAGAGATTCTTCATTATTGTGTCTCAGTTTTTCGGGATTCTGAAGAAAGCGAAGACGACAGTAATTAAATACATAAAATGTATCAATTTTATTTATTTATTTAGCAAACCTATATGGCTGTCTATTTACCAGACAGAACTATGGGCAATGAACAAAAATAAAAAGCAGAATGTAGTCAACACAAAAAAGGACTTAAAAACAACATTGAGGCCCTAATAAAATTTGCATGCGTCAACCATACAGTGCCAGCTCCCTCAACAGCTTGGCCCCATTGCCTGGGGGAAAAGCCATAACTTCACTGCTTTCCTGAAGATGAAAGGGTTATAGGCACCTATACCTCTGGAGAGAAACTGTTCCATAAGGTAAGGGCCATGACGTAGAAGTACAGTTTCTTCTGCCCCACCAGCTAACACTATTTCACTGAGAAGGTTCGGAGCATGGTCACCTTGCCAGATCTAGTGGGACAGGCAAAAACTACTAGGAATAGACAGTCCCAAAACTAAGCTGGGCCCTGGGCAGGCTTCTAGGTGCAACAATACCTTGCGTTGCACCTGGAAGCCTACTAGGGGGCACTGTAGCAAACTCAGTAGTGACCTACGGAATAGTAGTGACCTACCTATTGCATAGGTCAGACTGAATATGCCAACTACTGTCCATGCCACTGCATTCTGGACTAGCTGCAGCTTTCAAGTGCTCTTCAAGAGCAGCTCCATGTAGAATTCATTACAATAGACCAATTGGGAGGTGACCAAAGGCATTTTGTCTGAATTCTAAAGCCTGTTTAAAAAGATCACTTTTCTTTTAAGAAGTTGATCAGAAAATCATACTTTTTTTTTTAAATTTGATTTATATGCCGCCCTTCTCCGGAGACTCAGGACGGCTTACAATGCGTTAAGCAATAGCCTTCATACTTTTGTATATTTATACAAAGTCAGCTTATTGCCCCCCACAAACTGGGTCCTCAATTTACCTACCTTAGAAAGGATGGAAGGCTGAGTCAACCTTGAGCCTGGTGAAATTTGAACTTACAGTAATTGCAGACAGCTGGTGTTAATCACAATGCTATTAGTCTACTGAACCACCAGGCCCGTTACTTGTTCCTAGTAGTATTTGTCTGCCTCCAAGCAAAGGCAATTTCCAGATTTCAGCATTACAGGTCGTAACAAATGGGGGAAACCGAATTAGCATGGAGAAAGGGGAATTTCTGGGTGAAACAAATATTCCACATTCAATAATGTTGAATAGCTATCCTTCTGGGTATTGCAATGTAGAGAAAATGATCAACTTTCATTTTTAACCAATACATTTTAGGTTGCAGCTTTGTCTGGTGATGCAAGACGGTGCCTTGATATCTGCAGAAGGTCCACTGAAATCTGTGAACTTAACAGCAAAAGAGGTGATTCTGGATTAGTCAACATGGCACATGTTATGGAAGCTGTGGATGAAATGTTCTCATCTCCATATATAAATGCAATTAGGTAATAAAATAGTTTACCTATGAGTCTTCTCTTTTTCAGTGCCATAAAGGAAAATCTGGTCTGAGCAGTGTGGTGGCCTAGAGTTGGAGCTCTTGCCTCATAATAACAAGGCTGTGGGTTTGATCCTAAGTAGCAGCAGATATTTCTCTCTGGGAGCAATGAGTAATTGTCTGCTGAGAACTCCACATAGGTGTCAGGAAGGGCATCTGGCCAGAAAACACTCAAGCTCTACTCAATAGACATCTCCCCGATGCAAAGGTTTATAGGCTCATTAAAAGAAAAAATAAGAAAAATTTGGTCTGTGCAGTCCAAAAGTTACAACCATTTGTTCAACAACCATTAAAAGATAATGGTGCTAAACAAATGGTGGTAAAGACTGGCCCTTGGAATTCCAGGCATCACTGCATTCCCACAGTTACATGGTTGTGATCTGAGCATTCAGTGCGTAGCTCACAATTAGGACAGTAAACTGCAGTCACATGATCACAATTTCTAACATTCTTTGCCAGCTTCCCACAAGCAAAGTCAATGGGAAAGCTGCCAGGAAGTTGGAAATCATGATCACATGGAGTCCTCACTTATCGACTCATGAAGTCTTCACTCAATAACAGCAACCAGGATGCTGGAATTGCTGTTGCGAAGCAATACAGCTACATGACATCACACTTTAAAACCACATCATTTAGGGACAAAAATTCTATTCCCAGTTGCCATCATAACCCAAAATGTCTGTTTTTGAAATAGACCTTTTCTTAAGGAGATTACTCATCAACAGTCACCATTCTCACTCATTCTTGGTACTCTTAAATATCCGGGTTCCTTTTTTTGGACTTGTTTAGCTCGGTCCCACTCATCTATTCATGTTACATATTGCACAGGGTTGCACATTTTTCCCCCAAACTCATCCTTTTCTTCCAGTTATCACCATTCTATGGACCATAGCTTACAACCTTTATCAACCTATGATTTTTTATTTTTATAAGCACCCACAATTGAAATAACATCAATTGTACATTGTGAATGGAATACGTGCCTGCCTTGTAAATCAACATATTGTCTCTTGCAACCCACCAAGTAGAAGCTATATGTAGTGTACCAACACACTGAAATGTGCTTTTTTATTATGCTGTTTAATCTTGTTGGGGTTTTATTCTCTTAGGAATGCTTCACTGCAGGAGCAAATATTCTTGAAAGCCACAATTGCGGAATATCATAGGTTAGGACTGGAAGAAGCTACAATTCAGCAGGTAAAAATAAATGCTAATTTTTCAAGAAGACTGGTTATATTCTGGGGATGTATCTTTTCATTGGAAATTACTATTTAATGGATTTTATACAGCGTAGCTATTTATTCCAATTCACAAATATGCACTAATTAGATTAGTGCTTCAGGTCTTTGACAGTTCTCCTCGAGCCCATATTTTTATATTTTGAATATAGTTACAGTATTTGTGTCAGACCATACTATACATTCTTCCAAATTGCATATATTTAATCTAGGCAATCTATTTATCTTTTAATAATTTTCAGAATACAGTGGTACCTTAGTCTAGTACTTATTGTTAATTGGTTGCAGGAAGCATGATGAGTACCAAAACAAGTGCCAAACGAAATTTTCCCATAAGGAATAATGTAGTGAGGCACAAGGCAGCCAACACTGACAAGTTGTAGCTTGTGAGCTGAGTACCAAATAAACGATGAGGACCGGGACAAAATGTTCATGTCAAAATGCGTTGAGTACCAAATTCAATGAGTTTCAAACCAGCTGAGTACCAAGGTACCACTGTATATACAATTCTGAAAAATGATGTATCTCAGTAGTTCTTCACCACGGACCCCCTTTAAATACCTTTTGTGGCCATGGACCCCTAAGACTTAACTCAAGTTTTAAATCATAACATTTCTTCAAGCCTTCATGGACCCCCTGTGATCACATCACAGTCCTCCCCCCCCTTCCCCCGGTGTCTGCGAACCACAGATATTATTATTTTCCCATAGAAAGAGGAAAGAAATTAGAAATTACTCCCTTAACCTGCTTGTTTTTAACCTTCAGTTTTGTTTTTTCCACTTCTAGATATTTCATCAGCACGTTGCTCTATGTAGACTTGAAGGCCTGTCAACACCTACTATATCAGATATAATAGCAATTTCCTCCCGACTTGGAGCTTGTAAACTTTTGCTGGCAGAATCTCATGCCAAGTACATTGGCATGCGAATTCGACTCAATGTTAGCCAGAATGATGTTATGTATGCACTCAAGCAAGATCAGAATGCCAAAAATACTAAATTTTAATAAGATTTGTTTTAAATAATGATGCTGATTAATACTTGAAATTTGTTTTTAAACTTATTTTAGTTATTTTTATATTGTTTATAATTATAACTATTCTTTAAAAAAATAATCCAGTTGTTTGTGCTCTCATTATACTATACTATTACTATACTATAAATTCTACTTTATAAATCTATTACCAGTTGTTGAAGCTTAGTTAAAAATTGGTTTTATCCCAATGGAGGTTCATGCAAATTCACCTCATCCCATGTTTATATAGCTTCCAAAATATTGTATTCAAAATATTAGGCTTGTACAAAACACTGTAAAGAGATTCACTGCAAAGCATAATAGCTGTCTTCTAAACTACTATTCTAAAATACTGCACAGACAGTTGGTGATAGTCTTTAAGCAGCATTGCAAATAATCCATCACAGTTGTTTTAGTATTTTGAAAAATGTTGTTTTATTCATGATAACTATACTTTGTAAAGCACTCCCAATTGCTTTGCAAAAGTTTACTAACTTCTTAACTACAGTTTTGATTATTGCAAACCTATTTATAACTTTAGCTGGAAATGAAATCCTAGTAGTAATTTAAAGTTAGCGCCAGTTTGGTGTAGTGGTTAATGCTTCAGGCTAAAACTAGGAAACCACAAATTCTAGTTTTGCCTTAGCCACAAAGCCAATTGGATGAACTTGGGCCAGTCATTTTCACTCAGTCCTAGGAAAGAGGTAAGGCAAACTACTTCTGAAAAATCTTGGCAAGAAAACTAGGACTTGTCCAGGCAATCTTCAAGAATTGGACGTAATTGAACAGAAGTAAAAAAGTTTATCAACCGAAATATGGAAAACTTTAATAAATCAAAGGCAGAAAGTGGGGAAAAGCATATCATTCAGAAGTATTCATCCAAACATGATTTGCTTTGTATTTGAATTAAACCTGAAATGTTTTTTCTATGTAGTATGATCAATAGATGGCAGTGCAACCTGTAATTCCTTGATTTTCCTTTGGCCAAAACCCAGAATAACTCAAATATTCAGGTTTTATTTTGGTTCAGTTGTGGCTGATCACAAATTGTTTGGTAGAACGTCAAGCACATAATTGTGCTGGAAATTGGAGAAAATCATGTTTCATGCACATTTCTATAGAAAAGAAAAAGAAAAAAAATCTAAATTAAAACCAATCATAATTTTTGTAATTGATTATTTTAAAAGGCTGATAGGGTGATGGAAATTTTAAAATGCATTTCAAAATAAACTAGGAAAATAAAAGTTACCTAGCATGGAAACATCCAATAATTCTCAAAAACATACAACAAAATGCTTCCTCTTCAGAACATTTTAAGTACATGCAACTAACTAGTCAGGAAATTACATCTTTGGAAACCTGTTTAGAATGTTTAAATGTAATATCAGGACTTTGATTATGGAAACAGACTGATGGCTAGTGTAAATAACAAAACATAATATTGTATCTAGTAATTTCAGGGAACAAATGTGTTGGCCTAGTTTGTAAGCGCTTTAAGCTCCAAGGCAATTCTGTTTATAAAGCAATCCAAGAGATGATGAAATCATTTTTCATCCATTAAAAAATGAGGCAGTGTGTTCATACATCAAGAACAGATCTTTAGAGAAAAAAGTATATTTCAACCTAGGTTTCTCTCCATTCAAATGAGATCATTTTAATAACAGTTCTCAGATTATTAGTCATCATCCAGTACATTATTGTCTCGATCAGTGGTTCACTATTGACTGGATTAACCAGTAACCAGTTACATTCGTTATTCATTAACTATGAATTGTTGATAACTATGAATTTTAATTTCTTGGTTTACACATATGCTAAGTCATAAACCCTAATGCCTCCTACTAAGGCAGCATTTAACATCCAGCTGCCTGCAATTACTGCGAGTTCAATTCTCACCAGGCTCAAGGTCGACTCAGCCTTCCATCCTTTCTAAGGTGGGTAAAATGAGGATCCGGTTTGTGGGGGCAATAAGCTGACTGTATAAAATATACAAAAGTATGAAGGCTATTGCTTAACGCATTGTAAGCTGCCCTGAGTCTCCAGAGAAGGGCGGCATATAAAAATAAATAAAATGAATAAATAAATAAATAAAAAAACTACAAAGCTGCCTATTCAGTTAACACAACTAATCATGCCAACCTAAAATTACAGAAATCACATTAGGAACATGAATTTTGCACTCTTACCTATATTTAACAGGGAGGGGGGGGAGAGATGGATTGTGGGCATATTGGTGATTCATCCATTCCATTGGATGGTTTCACACACATTGAACAATATAATATGAAATAAAGGAGAATTCTATGGCCCTCCTTATGTTGTTGAGTTATAGCTTCCAGCAGCTATCTCCATCGCAATAAAACCAGAGTGTATCCTGAAGAAAATACGAAAGAGGATCAAAAGCATCAATTGGGCTGCATTCTCATGTAAAGATAAAATTCAAGCTAGCAAAGCCAGTTTCCATTACAAGGGCTGCTTTTTGTTTAAGACAGCCTTGAAAGAAGCACTCATCTTATGGCCTTACCAATTCTGGGCCTACAGAACCTAATTTTGAGTAGTTATTTTTATTAGAGTTCTGAAGAGACTCAGAAGTGGCCGTTCAGACTGATTTCCTGCTCTGGGGCAGAAACATTATTTAAAAAAACCGAGCTGCTGAATAATTATAGAATTTATAATTATAGAAACATAAAAAGCACTTAGAACTAGTTTCGCCAAACTGGCTTCCTCTAGGTCAAAGGTCTCCAACCTTGGCAACTTTAAGACTTGTGGACTTCAACTCCCAGAATCCCTCAGCCAGCTGCTGTAGGTGTTTTCGATCAACTCCCATAACCCTGTTTCGGCTGAAGGATGATGGGAGTTGAAGTCCAAAACATCTAGATGTTGGGAGGGGTGAGCTACGCGTTTACCTCACCGAAAAGGCAAAGGAGCATTTCAGCCACGCCCCTTCCCCCCTCCCCTCCCCGTCTTTCCGTCTTGCTTCGGAGTCAATTATTAACAGTACCCTGTTTTGCCTCGCGCGCTCAGGCACCGCCCACTTCGGCGCCTCCATCTCGCTCTCTCTCTCTAAAAAAAAAAAAAAATGAATATAAACCCTCCGCGCCTGCGCGTTGCGGGGCCCCTTGGTGCAGCCCCAAGCTGAGTCCGAAGTAGGAGGGGAAAGCGGGCGTCTCGCCTGGGCCTTTTTTTTTTTTTTTTTTTTTTGGCGCCTGCTCCGCTGGGCAGCCCGTCGGCTGCGGCAAGAGGTGGAGCCGTGCCCCCCCCCACCTCCCCGGGCTGCTTCCTTTGGTGGAAGGGAGATTAATAGGACGCCTTCTCATCTCCCTGGAGCCCGAGAGAAAGCAGTTGCCACCTGCCCCTCCTCCTCCTCCTCTTCCTGCTCAGTGGGAAGGTTTGTTATGAATTGAAAGCAGCGGCTGGCTTCTTCTTGGGTTGAAGCCCTAGCTGGCTGTTTTGAGTCCCTTTGTCGGCTGGACTCCCTCTGCTGTGTGTGGGATTCACACGCGCGTGCACGCGCTTGGTTGGGCGTATCTGACCGTGGGAAAGGGTCCCCCTGAAATCGCCCTGTCTTTTGAAGTCAGCTGATAGGGATGGGCTCTGCCTCTTGAGAAGATACCGCTGGGTGTTGCAGAGGTGCAAGTCATCCGGTAGGTTGGGGATTCAGGTGGGAGTGGGCCAGGGGGGGCACGTCAAGCTGCTTGAACTCGACTTTAGTCTTCCGTGTAGACGGCAGTGGCCCCCCTTCTTTCTCCAACGCTGAAGGTCTAGGCTAGGAGTTCAGTGGGGCCCGAATGAATTTGGAACTGATTTTGGAGGTGATCAGCAGTTCCTTAAAACCTGGTGCCTTTGGTGGCCCTGATCTCCAACCTGACATATAGAAAATTATGCAAGTTGAAGGCAAAACAGGTCTATTTATTCTGTTAGTCCTTTTTGCTGTGTTGTCAGTTAATGATGACTTCCTTTATGCAGATTGTGGTTTTGAAACTAATTCAGAGATGGCTTAGAGGCCCTCATGCTTTGAGAAGTAGAGATTTCTTCAATAACCCACCATTTAAATTAATTAGAAATGTATGTACTGGAAGGAGACACAGATTGACTGAGATCCATGCACCCAGCCTTTTGCAATTTCAGGTTTTGTTAGATCTAAATCAAATCTGACCCAAAGCCGAGCAAGTGATTTATAACATTTTCTCTTGTTAGAGTTGTGGAATAGTCTCAGTTATTTTCTTATAGGTATCCTAGATTCTTAACAAAAAAAAATTAATAGTATTTTTTGATAGTAATAGTAACCTGGTGGTGCCTTTGTGGAGGTAACTGAGGGTTTGCTTCCTACTGCATAAACAAAAAATCAAAATCATGCTATATACTGGGATCATTGGGCTTCTAGCTTTTTTTTTTTTTTAATAAGGTATTCTGACATTGACTGAGTTCTTAACACCTTAAATATGTTCTGCTGTTATATAAGTATAATCTTGCTTCTGACTGTCCACTTCCCCAATCCTTAAGGGCTGAAAATATCCAATTCCATATTACTCATTAGATTTCTAAACAGTTTGGCGTATGGGAGTCGTTTTCTTTCGTTTTAGGGTTTGCTATGTGATCATTCTCTTTAAAAAAATAATAAATCTGGCTTTCTGCCTGTATTAGAAGAAGAACATCCAAGCCATAAGTATCTTCCAAAAGCAATGATGCACATCTCTGCTTTTGTACTATGGTTAGAGAAAATAGAGTTAACAATATGTATATCTTAGAATTTAAGACCTACAAGTGGGAATGGCAGCAGTCTAGTATCTTGATGAGGTTTTTTTCAGTCAGGATGCTCTTGGTTTTTTAAAAAAAAATAATGTCTATATGGTGTTCTTGCAAATATATCTTGCTGCATTGGAATCTCATTATCTCCAGGTAATTTTTAACTTTCTGGATTCTGCAACCTGGCTTTGTTGATGAACCAGCATGCCTGGAAGAAGACCCAGGAAAAGCCCCCAGGCCAAGGGTCAGGCAGGAGCTGCCGCAAAACAGGTATATTTATTCTGTTAGTCCTTTTTACTGTGTTGTCAGTTAAGGATGATTTCCTTTATGCAGAATGTGGTTTTGAAACTAATTCAGAGATGACTTTGAGGCCCTCATGCTTTGAAAAGTAGAGATTTCTTCAATAACCCACCATTTAAATTAATTAGAAATGTACGTACTGGTAGGAGACACAGATTGACTGAGATCCATGCACCCAGCCTTTTGTAATTTTAGGTTTTGTTAGATCTAAATCAAATCTGACCCAAAGCCAAGCAAGTGATTTATAACATTTTCTCTTGCTAGAGTTGTGGAATGGTCTGAGTTATTTTCTTATAAGGTATCCTAGATTCTTAACAAAAAAAAAAACTAAAGCCACAAATATTGGGAAAATGGGTATGCTTGCTAATTCAGAGGAGAATCTGTTCTTTAAAATATGGAACAAAATACTGAAAGTTTGACGATTACTGATTTAAATCTATTCTTTGTTTTCATAAATTTCATAGTTGACAATAGTTGCTACTAGTGCCACTAAGGTGGTGATTGCCTTTGTTATCTAAATAAATGGCAGCTATTTTATAGAAATTTAACTATAATTGCCTGATGTAGTAAAGTAGTGGAATTAAATTGATCAGTTCTTTAGAAAAACAAAGTACTTCAATAATCAGAATGGAAAGGATTTTTTAAAAAAATCCTGAAGTAATGTATCTGAAATCAAATCCATCAGGGTTTTTTTACATTTGTCATACAATAGAGTATACAATATAGGTAGTCCTCGATTTATCACAGTTCATATAGTGACCGTTCAAAGTTACGGCACTGAAAAAAGTGACTTTATGATCTTTTTTCACACTTACAACCATTGCAGCACCCGTGTGGTCATGTGATCAAAATTCAGATGCTTGGCAACTGACTCATATTTATGACAGTTGCAGTGTCCCAAAGTCATGTGATCCCCTTTTGTGGCCTTCTGACAAGCAAAGTCAATGGGGAAGCCAGATCCACTTAACAATCAGCTTACTAACTTATCAGCTGCAGTGATTCACTTAACAACTATGGCAAGAAGAGTCGTAAAATGGGGGAAAACTCACTTAACAAATGTCTCAACAAATTTTGGGCTCAATTGTGGCGGTAATTGAGGACTATCTGTACAGTTGTTCATAACGTGCAGCTAAATGGGGGAAATATCTCTCATTGACTTATTAAAGCAGCCACATTTTTTGCAAGGAACTTGTGGCTGCTTAGAAAACAATTCCATTATACATATAGACATAGTTCAGAACAGCTTTCTAAATGGCCTTGCAAGATATGGCATAGCTTGCTTTGAGTGTAGCAAGCAGAACAAATAGCCATATTAATGGATATTATTACAGGGGAGAGTAAAAATTCTCAAGTGTTATTGGATCTGATCTTATGAAAGGAAAAGAAGAGAATAGTTACATTTCATCCTTTTAATAGGCATGATTTGCAAAAATACCATGCACCCAAGTTGAGGGTAAAGTAGCAGAGGGGAGATAAATCTTCTACTCTTTTAGAGGGTATTTAAATTTAAATAAGATATCAGGGAGAAACAGTCTTAGTGCAAACTTAAAACAAGGAAATTAGCTTATCCCGGTCCTTTGCCATAATGAATGAAGTCTGGGTCCAGCAGGAATATTTAGTTCAGTTGCCTTATTTTTGAATTCCAAAGGCAGATCCTTTTGTGTGTTTCCAGAACACATAGGCGTGTTGAGTTAATTTAGTACAAATAGTGCTTTGTAAAATATTAACCACATAATGTATTTCTTGAACTTCCTTTCCCTTTGTGATCCTAGGATGGAAGCAGATAATCATCTTATTCTCTTTGCTTTATATAACATAGTAGACTCAAGTAAAAACATGAGTATTTAATGGTACATTTTGGATAGTGCAAGATCATAGTATATGTGATAATCCAGAGTAAACCTCACGTTCACATTTCTTCCATTCTTTCTTTTTTGAGGAGTCCTTGATACTCTCTATGGTTGGTAATTATATTCATTATATAAGCAGGGAGTGGAAGTGATGGAATTTTAAAATAAGTATTAAGCTCTTTGCAAAAAGAAGGAAATTATGTTACACAGATTTTCCACTTGAACAGACATCTCTTATTCCAGAATTTGAGAAGGAAAAGACCTTAGAAATAGTTGTTAAGTTTGGAACTCCCAGACGTAACAATACAAACTCTTACTGAAAGTCAAATTGTTTTTGCTTCTTGCTCTGAATAGTTGAAATGAGAAATAATTGAAGCAAAACACACCCCTCACACGTGTGTGGTATGTGCGTGTTGGGTTGCTACCAGTTTGCCCCAGTTCAGGGTGAACCGGTAGCAGCGGTGGCAGGAGGCTCCGCCCACCCGCCCAGACATCATCAAATACGCTCTGTGCATGTGCAGAAGTGGTGGGCGTGCGAGCGAACCAGTAGCAAAGGTAAGTGAAACGTACTCCTGGTGCACGCACACACACACACAGTACGATGGGCAAGAATGACTTGTTAGCAGAGTGGAACCAGCTCATAGAACCCCTTTCAGTTTAAGGAACATTGGATTAAAGAATCTAAGAATTTTAAGACCAAATCGCCACTTTCCGTAAATGGATAATTTGGAGTCAAATATTATCTCTTAGTTTAAGGTGTACCTCACAGAATATGATTGGAGAAGAAAGTATACATCACTTTTGGTTCCTAGAAGGAAGGTTGGTATTAAAATATGATACCTTTCAAATCTCAATATAGAGTTCATGTTACTATAAAATGTCGTCGAACTCTATAAGCAGATAGTGTTTGTTATAGAGTCCCTATTCCTGAAATTTATACCAGTATTGGATGAAACAGGTTAGAAGCAATGCTACCAATTTAATGTATCTTGCGTAGACATTTGTGTAACACGGATACTAATCCTGTTATTATTTTCTTGTCAACAGCTGGGTCTTTTTATAGAATTCAATCCTGAAGAGATGATACTAGATCTAGAAGATGATGGGGATCTAGAAGCTGAGCTAGCAGCTATTACTGGAGAGAATTTGCCTACTGGAAAAACCAAACCAAAAGGAAAATGTAAGGACATTTGCTGACA